GGTGAGTGGTGATGATTAACTGCCTTCCTCTAGTCTTACACTGCTAAAGTAAGGGAAGGCTAGTGCAGATAGCCCCTCGTGTAGCTTTGTGTGAAATTCAAAAACAAACAAACAAACAATTATAATTTGGATTGTAATTCTGCAAAATTTTGTGAAATGCACACTTTGTCCCTGCAGTGCACATTGGGTTATGTGATTAAAACTTTTGCATGAAGACATGACAATGAAAAGTTAAAACAAGCATATGTAAGAAGAACAATGCAATGTTGTGTTTGGTTGAAAATGGTGTGGAATATTTTTCTTGCTTCTGCAAGACTGGGAAGATATTAAGAACAAATATCAGTATCATAACAACCTTGGTCATCATACAATGTCTAGTGGCCTTGATTTTCAATCTTATTAGAAAATGTTCAAAAACATTCTGCATTATTATATAAGAGGTGTTTATAGGAGAAGAAACGAGCTAGTGACAAAAAAAATTATGAAATGACCTGTGCCTAAATTCATCAGCATATCCAATGTAAAATGTGTGGGACCAGTTGAAAAATGTATGCCAACTGATATGTAACATCTAGGAGAAATTGTACAGCAGAAATAGAAAGAGATATTGGTTTATAGTTGTAACAAACTATTATCGTGTGACAATTGTCAAGTTACAAAGAGTAATTATTGAAGTACCAGGATTATGCAGTCAGTGGAAATAGTGCATAGATCACCAATGTGAAAGTAAGAAAAACAGAGACTTGTGATGATAAAATAAAGTTTTGCATTTAGTAAAGGTTTTCTGTGTACAAAGATTTGTTCATAAGAAAACTCTTCATAAACTTAAGTTTAATTATTTGCGGGATTTACACACTTCAAATATTTGGAAACACTTTTAAGGTTTTAGAACATTAATCTTTTAAACATTATGACAAATTATTAAGAAGCTGAGGGTTATTCCATGTTTTCTATCAGGGCTGACTTGACTACTTTGTTGAGCTGACTAACTTACTATATATTAAACCTAGCTTTTATACATTTAATGCATGAGCATGTACTGGATAGAACTGGTTAGGTAATCTTTAGTTTTCTTAAATACTTTCCTAAGAATCTTCCTCCCAAGATCTGCATATCCTATAGGCTATTTCTCTTCATTACTATTAAGGACAATCTTAGTGAATGGTATTTTGTTCTCCACATACTTAGCAGTAAAGGATACTAATCTCCAGCCATCAAAGCAACTGATTTAGGAACTTTCCTTTTATTAGGAACTTTCCCATACTTTTTTTTATTACTGCTATCTAACCAGGTGTTTACATACTTTTGGATTAGGTTGTTTGATATAATGTATATACAAAGTGTGAAGGAAGTGGAGCTTTAATCATTTAATTTTGTTTCATGTTACTTTGATATAGATATAGTCCTGATCATTCAGCTCCGTTTCTTTTTTTGTTAGAAATATAAATTTTAATGTTTGGAATTTTTATAGATATTTCAAATGCAACTTCTGATAAGCCTGTTACAACATTTCAATCATTGCGTCCAAGGCTGGTGAACCTATTGACTAATGCTTTACAACATGAGACCGATTCTGCTAACACTCAGATGCTTCTTGGTGAGATATCTGATGTTCTTTATTTTTAGAGAAACTATATAGATAATGTTTTATGTGTGATTTAAATCATTTCCAGAGTAAGTACAATGAGTTAAAAAAATAGATTTTCATGCTAATAATCATGTATATATTAGTTTTATTTGTATCTCAAACACTCATGTGTTCTTCATAAGTTGAATATGTAACTCAGCTGGTGAACAGCACTTTAAGGTGCTTAAAAGCTTGTGCTTTAAATATACCTTATTATATACACGAAGTATGTCTGAAAATATTTGTTTTTACCTAATGCATTTGATATTCCTGATTATATACAAGAAGTATGTCTGAAAATATTTGTTTTTACCTGATGCATTTGATATTCCTGATTATATACAAGAAGTATGTCTGAAAATATTTGTTTTTACCTAATGCATTTTGATATTTCTGATTTCAATTAGCTCATAGTTTTTTTGTAGAATGTTGCTGTGTGCAAGATGTGTTAAACATTTTCTAGACATACTGTTCAAAATAGGAATAACCCATTGGAGTAAGATAAAAACGGGAAAAAATGCATGAGTCTTAAGCTTTATTTTTCTCCAAATATTAATGATAAAAATATAAAATACTGTCATAAAATGATGTATAGTAACACTTTTATCCCATAGTTGACACTTAAAAAAAAGGTTCTTTATTTAGATGCGAAGAAAATGCACATATATATATATATATATATGTACCACTATTTATGTATGTTTGTGTGTGTGTGTGTATATAATAAAAACAACCAACTTACCACAACATATAGTAGTTGCTTCTCATGAAGAAGTATTACACAAATAAAAGTGATTACTGGAGCAGAACCATTGGAGTTTATAAATAAAGTCTATTTTCTAAAATATGGCATTCCACACCAGTAATAGCTGCACAAACCTACCTCCAAGATGTGAACAACACAATAAAGACCGAGGTATCTATGTTAAAAATTACTACTTACTTTTTGATTTTATAACTGTATGATAAACATAAAAAGCACTGATCCATATTTAGTGCAGGACAGAATAGTGGGCTGACCAAGTGGATGCTTAGAGGCTAGACAAGGATGCATTGATATTTAAACACTTTTGCCCACAAATTTCATAATTACTGATGTGGCTACATCCAATATTTGAACACCAGAAAGGTAATTGGTAGTAACTAGTGTTTTATATTCAGATGATAAGTTCCCATTCACAGTGAGTGTCAATTGAGTATTTGGAGTTTGCTCTTCAAGAATAATGTTTTGGATTTCATAAGTAAAGCTTATCTTTATGAACTGTTTTTGCTATTATCATATAACGAAAATTGTAAAAAATAATTTATGTTCCAGTTATGAGAGAACTACACAAGTAGACTAATTGTGATATGTAATTATGCATTTTGTTTTCATTTAATTTATTTCCTTCTATGCAAATTTTGACTTTGAAACAAAAGCTTTTCTATCCCTACAAAAAAAAACTACAACTCTTAGCTTAATCAAATGCACGAGAATTATAGATCTTGCTTATGTCTGTGACATAGGAGAAAGATATTAACAATCTTGCAATGAATGATAATAAATTATGTGAACTATATTTAAAATATAGCTAAAACAAATAAAGGATAGAATATTCGTGTTTAGTATCTCATATCATTATGGATAATACAACATTCTATGTAATCTTATACTTTTGTCTCTGTATATTTTGGACCTTGATCATAACAAAAGCTAATTTTGTCACCTACAAATGACTATCTTGAAGTATTTATTATCTGTACTTAGTCACATGTTAAATAAAATACTTTTTACAATTTACTACATCAGTTATTTTTGTATTGTCACTGATGAGTCATTATAAATGTTTTATGAATTTTGAAAATTTAGTGATTCTATGTCATTAACATCTTTCTGTAACACTGTGTTAAAATGTTTTAGTTGAAAAAGAAATACATTGCTGCTTATGAAATTGAGCATTACATTGTTTGAAATGAAGAAGTTACGAGTAATAACAAAAACAGTTCATATGATTTATAGAAAATACTTCTGCTTTAAGAAAACTACCTGAAACTGCTGACAGTGTCATAAGGGGTAAAACAATATTTACTAATGAAAAAAAAAATGATTGTTGTTAGGATGAAAAACATTTTACTCATCTGAGTCAAATGATTTACAATATTCTTATTCCATTATTATAAAGTTTTGAAAATAAAGTGTATAATGATGTAGTACACACGAAGTGAAATCTGGCTGATATTTGATAATGTTGAAGCATAGGAAACATTGAGAAGAACTGAGCAGTATAATAAGCACATATAAACTATAAAGTCAATAAGAACATACAAGTAAAACATTAATTATATTGTTGCATCAGCGAAGTTACATGACTAGTGTGACGCCACGTTTCTAGAACTATCCTGTACCTTGGCGAATGCTCTAGCATTTACTAGATATAGGGTTGTCTTGTATATAAAAGAGGGTGACAACGTGACGGGACAACAGTGTGTGTGTAGACAGTGAGTAATTGATCTGCAGTCAGAGAGTATTATTGAGCACGTTCGTTGTTATAGCGTTTGTTTTAGCGCGATTGTTGAAATTAAGTGTATCGTAAAGAATAAACCAGTTTTATTAAGTAAGGATTTGTGTCGCTAAAGTTTCGTCGGAACGAAGTTACGGAAAGTTAATTAACAAACGGAGACGTAACAATATGTATTTAGTTGTCTGAAATCTTTTATAAACATTCCATATCCAAATTAATGATTTACCTTGTAATTTTTGTTCTTATCTCATTCAATTTTGATATTGAACTGCTGCTTTGCATATAACACAGTTACAAATGAAATTTATCCCCATCCGATTTCATTTGCCCTTTTCTGGTATTGTTAAACTTAATAAAAAATTGAAGAATATCGTAAAATAGAAACAAAAGTTACTTACGTTATTTGACCAAAACGACGTGTACACGATATGTCAAATATCTCACTGTAATATGAGCAACTACGTTCCATTCAACCTTCCATTATTCGATGTCATTTCCGTAAGTAATGTGGCATATAAATAACATTCATTTAAATTAAATAAGCTTTATTTTTATGCCACATAATCAACACGGAAATATTAAATTTTAATACTTCCGTGTAAATTAAATATAATTCATTTAAAAGTCGTGAATACCAGTAGGTTTACTAAATTTAATGTGACGATACTAATATTTTACCATATTTTTCCTTTAACTTTACTGTACGAATTTGTGTTAATATGTTTGTAACGGAACCTTTCGAAGTTCCAACTAGTAAAAAAATAGTGTTTTTATCTACCTTTCCTGCACCACTCTCTCCGCTGATCACGCAAGATTGGTTTATGTTTTTATTCTGTAAACTAGAGTAGGCTGCTTCTGATATAGCAAACACATGGGGCTCTTGGTGTCCAATCTTCTGACCGTTATAGTTGAACACCCAGTCCTTTAAAATAATAATAATTACGAAATTATTCAAAGCGTTTACAACTATAATATACATATGACTTACTTTTATTAAATCTATTTTTTTTTCGAATTGTATTCAAAATAATTATCAACAATCAAATAGCCAATACCTATTTTACGAAAGTTCGAAAAACATAACATTTGTTTGTTTTTTATTCACAGTTCTAATATCAAGTGATTTTTCAACACTTAGCTTTGTGTAATGCAATTTCAAAACAACACTCATCCATTATAAATCACAACAAAAGCACAAAAGTATTAAAATTTACTTACCAAGTCATAAATATCCAGTTCTTTGTATGGATTTACTGCAACAAGGATTGTGCCAGTGTATGTCTAATAGTTAAGTCTGTTAAAAAACATATCAGTGTATAAATAGAGAAATCACAACATGTCCCTGTCAGCTTTACTCACTTCTCAGGAAGCGGCATACTCATAAAAATGGATATATTGTCTAATAACAATAACCGTATATATATATATATATATTATATATAAAATTTGCCTATAATTACATTTCTGATCATTTTTTGCAAAATCTACCTAGAAATACTCAATTTCAAAAGTAATTTAAGGTAATGGATATGTGCTACATAAGTAATTTAAGGTAATGGATGTGTGTTATGTACTATAAATCGTAAGATATCAACACCACAGGTTTGGAAAAATGAATACCAACCCATTTCAAAAACATAAAAAAAAGAACGCAAAACGTTTACAGAAACTTCTCAGACATTAATCAAAATATTAGAAAAACTGTTTTTTAAAATTAACACAAGTTTTTATTTGTGTGAACTTCTCGAACATTGTTAGGCTGATAGTTGATACAGAGGTTCGAAAATTTAGGTGCTCGATCTGATATATATTAATTAATCTGACTTTGACTTCATTGCAATAAAGCTGTTTAATACAATGTGTAGGAAAAGAAATCTTATTTACATACTTGATATATTACTAATAAATCTAAATGACTTAAACATAGTTATTAAGCCTAAAACATGCAATAAACCCGCAGAAAAATGTGCTGGTCGTAGTGTAACCACAAGAATTATTAGGTATAGATATAACAAACACCGTCGCGCTCTGCACACATTAATTAGACAGTGCTGTGGCTGAACGTTTTGTTGACAAACACTGTATAATTGATGTGGCTTGTCTCCTAGCAGCAAACATTATTGCCCATTGTCTTCTGAAGTAACAGCTTTTGTTTTATGTCTTTCTCAACAATGAATACAACTCTTCAACTTACAATATAAACTTTAAACTCTTATGGTAACTTTTACTTTTTATTACATTTTCAAGTGTCCGAAGTGAAAAGGCGGATACTTGGCTAATAACTGATTTCGATTATCAATACAGTCTCTGGCTTGCACGCATGGATCCTTCCGCCCCCCGCCATATCTAAATTGAACACCACATATACATGCATAGTATGTATACAGGTCACTTGCATGCGTGACGTTACGTTTTCCGGTAGTTTAAAAACTGTTATACCATCGTGCACTTCAAGGACATGAAACGTTCGATATCTTTTTTATAAAATGATTTTAAAACACTAAACGTATACCGTAGTATAAAGTTTACGCATTATGTTAACTATTCTTTCTGAGCCTAAGATAAAAAATAAATACTTCGAACTCAGTATTCGTACAAGTCAATGAATGGTGTCTCAACTAAATAAGATTTTATTAATATCAAAACATGGAATTGACAAAAACAATTATACCTACTTTTATTATATAAAACTCATGTGTAGTATTTAACTTCAACTACATGTAAAAGCAGTTGTAAGCGAATCTCGTACTTTTCAAGCGTTTTTTTTTCATGTGCTTTTTCATCTTTTTAAATAAAAAAGTAAGAATATCTGTCTTTTAAGAAATATACATACATCCCCTTTACAGTTGTTCCGTTTCTACATAACATTTTTTTTGTTAGAAGTTAAGCACAAGGTTACACAAATTAATTATCTGTGCTCCGCCCACCACGGGTATCGAAACCCGGTTTCTAACATTGTAAGTCCGCAGTACCACTGAGGAGCCTCTACATAAAACCAATCAAAACATTTAGGACATCTAGACTTGTCAATAAGCGTTTATATACCCCAATTTGTACATATTTTGGAATTAAATGTTGCATAAAAGATATTCTACCTGAATAATTATGACATTCCACTGATACATAACTAAAATAGTAGTTTAAAAGAAATGGCCAAATGGGGAAGTTGCCCATCACGCCGGTAACTATGCAGCCCAAAACACTCTTAACAAACCAGAATCTTTTTAAATCGCCTCAGACAATATAGCTGATTTAATCTGTGCGATATAGCCTATTTAAAAATGGCGTATTATATATTTATAAACATACACATTTCACGTGTTATAGGAGAAATCCAGATGCGTGAAAGATACAAAAACTAGTTCCGGGTCGATTTAAGTGTCGAGTTGTTAACAGCATACATGTGAGCTGGTCGATATTACTAGTTTTCATAGAACCTAATAATACCAGGTATGTATGTACACCACTGCCAAACACGTTCAGACAAAACGTCTGCTTCACCTGCTAATCACGTATGACGTAATTCATATAATTTTATCGACTTGGCGAAAGTAGCATTCTAGCATGCTCGTTAAGAGCAACCACTGAAATGGTAGTTGATACAGACAATACCTGCGCAGTTTTGAAAAGATATACTGTTTTCTTATTAAAATTATACTCATTAATTATCTTTAGACACTATTAAATCACAGTGATGGTGTAAGAACTGGCTAAAATAAATGTATATTTTCACTTTTATCTGTGAGTCAAAGAAAATATCGATTTACTTTTAACAATGAGCTTTGTTTCATATTTGTTTGGACACTTTTGTCACAATACTTTTCAGCCTTGAATGTGAATCGCAAAAATAAATTGCATTACTTAAATTATTATTCCGGTGTCTCAAGATTAAAACTAAAGCTCGAAAAACAATATTAAAATATTTGTTCGACTACAGGAACGTTTTTAAAACACTGGATGAGATTCATCATTTCAGGATGCTCACGTACTTGTAGTTAGAAAAATATAGCTCTTACGTAATTTACTAATTCATTGTATGTTCTGTAATCTGGAAGTTTCCGCTCGGCACGGTATATATTCATTAGTAGGGTTAACAGTAACTCGCAATTTTAGGGTTACGTGAATTAATAAATAGGTTTTAATTTCAGACTAGCAATCCCACGATTTTCACTAACCTTAAACTACTGTTTAATTTCAACTTTATTAACATTACTAAAATTGCCATCTTTTACCGCAACGGCACTGTTAAAGAACACGAATTTCTGGTCATATTTACGTGCCCATTCATTCCAGTGGGGAGCCACCTAGAGGTGGATTAAACCTTGAACCTTAAAGTACATAATTACTAGCATAAGAAAACTCAGTATGCCAAAATGATAGAAATAGACATTCAACGAAACAAGTAATCAAATAATCGTTTATTTAAAATGTCAAAAACGTATTTTTACTGTTTTATATCAATTAAAAAATTCCAACTATAAGTAAATGGGTTACTATTTATCATTCCTGTACCTTTAAATTTATACCAGACATCACATACATTACCTTTGACTTTTGTAAACAAATTATAATGTATTTATTAACGACAAATCACACACAATTGTTGAGTTTTATGTATAAAACTGACTAGATGTGCTCAGTTTTAAACGTTTAAAATGATACACAGAGCACTGCCACCGTTTACAAGTTGGCACTTGCTAGCTTTAAGTTATGGATTATTCTAGTTACACAATATTGCCTGTCTATTGATGCAAAAATAACACACAGCAACTGTTCTTGGATGTGGAAATATTGTGCTTTTAATACAACGCTTTTCCGAGCTGTTGAACTATTTAGTTTCTGTTAATATTCATGTTTAATCTCACAAAGATATGTTGTCTGTTAAATGGAAGACACACCCCAACAACCCTAACCTGGCGGCCATTCACTTTCCTAAACACTGGTCAAGATTTCATGTCACCACACCAGTTTATATTGGTGATTTTCAAAACGAGAAAGAAAAAAAACTTTCAACAAAAGCTTTTTTGCAACAACTAAGAAATATAATGTTACGTGACTTTTTAAAATTATAAAAAAGAAAAACTTTCTTCCAACGTGTCGATTGACCGTTTCTTCTCTGTCTAATTCTAACCACCCTAGTTCTTTGAAAGTATTAGTAAACCCTTTATAAAATAATTTTAATCCGTATATGTATATATGCCAGTAGTCTATAAAATACATACAAGAGACAGGGCGGAAACATGCCACCCTATCCTGGCAATCTCGGAAATGTGGTCTAGAAACGGGAAGTGCTGGGAATTACTCGCAAGACTCACCCTAGATTCTACTAAAAAAAAAAAAGAAAAAGAACGAAAGTTGGTCGAAGTCGTCAGAAAACCTATAATGTAGGTCATTATTTGAAGATATATGTAAAGTTTACTGACACTTTATTATGTGACGTCATGTTTACAATTGTGTGGTAAATAGTTAGTAGTGGAATACGAAACAGTGTGCTGTTTTTGTTGTTCAACGACCTATGAGACGTTGGTAACATACGGAAGTACCGTACAAGATTCGTGCTTGAGATAGTATCCTCTTAGCCAACATTTGTTTTGTTACCAGACCGTACTATAAAATAATATACCACGAAGTTGGGCTATGTACTTTCAAGCAACTTCTACATGTTTTATAAACAGTGTGAATTGAGTAAACCGTTAGATTATGCTATCTAGATATGACAGCTATGACAATATTGGACAATATTTCACAATATTAATAATAAAAAAATATTTTACAAATTTAATGTATATTTTACGCAGTTAGATGCATCAGTATATTAAGTTTCGGCTTCGATGTTTACAGAAACAAAATACTCCAATTTTGATACCCGTTAGTTAAGCAGTACTACTTAAATTGGTGGATCAGCATTAGAGTTGAATTGTAGCATAAAACAAATCAAATTTAAAATAGATCACCTGTATAGTAACCATTCGTCGCATACACCCTAAAGAAATACACGAGGATTTCAATTATAAAAACTCTGATCCACTGGCAATTATTTTCCTTGTGGTAAACATTAAAGTGTCATATAAATTACACCCAGCATGGTTGTGGAGTTTTTTAAAAACTTGTTTTCCGAGGAACAAAATGGTAATAATATTTACATGCCCCCTCCCCCCGTCTCTCAAAACATATAATAGAAGTCGAATATAACTTTTTAAGTTTTTGCTTTTACTTAACAGTGAATAGAGCCTATAAAATGCCATTGGCGATACACACACACATATATAACAACTTAAAAGTTTTTGTAATTCTTATTAAGTTATATATTTTCCTAGAGCTGGCAGTCAAGCTTTACTATTCTCCTACTGTAGATAAAAGCAACGTACTAATATATTTTGCATTGATTTAAATACACTTGTTGCTGTATTTGTGAATAAACTGGCATGTATATTTGTATATATATAGTTTTGGTTTGAAGGGCGGATCTTTAAATGTTCTTGTGTGTATTATACTTTAGCAATTCAGAATTTTCAAGAACTTGCCTGTCTCCCCAGAAATTTACCCGAAGTGTTTACCAAGCAATAGAGCATGTGAAAAACAAAACAAAAAACTACTTGTCCAACACACAAAGTATAACGGGAAAACTTGTCTCTCAGAAAAATCCCAGGCGTCAGCGGTATGAATTCCATACCACCAATCCCAGATCTGACGTCTGTGAGTTTTAACTTTGTTTTTGTTGGATACTGTTGTTCGTATACGCCTAATTTACGTCCTTACTATTTTAACAAACACACATAAAGGATACATATATTTTATCCTTGTCATATCTCACTTTTAAATTTGTGTTGATACCGTTTTCATCAATATCACTTATCACAGTCATATCTGGAACGCCATCTTCTGGTCGGCGTCCTAAAAGAATATTTATAGAATTTAATGAACAGGCAACAAAAATAAAATACGACATCAACGATAAGTATGTTAGGGTTATAACAATTTTAATATTTATAGCTCGAAGCCAGAATTTACAAAAGTATAATTTTACTATTTTAAGTACTTTCTAGTAAAAATCATATCAACGACTGCTTTTTTTAACAAATCATTTCCATTCTTTGATGAAGCTATGAAAACATGAATGTTAAGCATCATGTTGCACATACGTCATAAATATGTATTTAATAACTTGTATACTATACGATTATTAAGTATATATCTTTGTAAATGAAATTAAGAAAAAATTTAACTTTAAAAAACGCACAGAACTTACCGCCTTTTACAAGTACAGTGACACGTGCTAGCTGTAAATTTGGAATTGTCACACAATACAGCATACTGCTTGTCTACCGATAAAAACTAACAAATACCAACATTTCTCTAAGATTTTTAAGAGGTGTAAAAATTATGTTGTCTATGTAACTTCGTTTTTAAGTTGTCAAACAAACTAACTTGCTTAACTCTTTTTTTTGTTTGTTTAATCCTTATAAAGATATGCTGTTAATGTCGGATGAAAGAGATAACCTCCGTACAATAACCCAATAACTTCATCTAGCCGAATATTGACTGACTAAAACACTGGCCAATATTTGTTGTCAACACATAACATCAGTTTATATTGGTAATTCTCAATACGAGAGGAGAAAAAAAATACTTCCAATCGTTTTTTTAATAATCGTGAATAATATAAGCCACATTATATTTTCAAGGTAAGCTTTCCTCGCGACAAATAAATTAAAGATTAGATACCGTTCACTGAAGGAAAGGCACTGATACCTTCTTTTGCTATAATCATTATTCAGTATATTTAAAATCGAGTCATGCGATGATTCAAAATACGTCCGAGTATAACAGACCAACGGTGGCACCACATTGACGCCAGGGGTTTTATTGTTCGATAACCCGTCGAAACCGAAAACACAATAAGTAAGCCTGACTGAAAATACAAAGCAACAATGTTACAACTTCAAGTGTAGGTAAAATTTCTTGGTTCCCTTTAACAGTAACAGCAAGAATACGAGAAAGACGCGTTTCTGTAAGAAACTTTTCAACGATTATAAACTTACCATTACTACTACCTGTAATAGACATGCTGATTCGTGCTTCTACTGGTCTACGGTGTACTGATTATCCTGTTCACCAAGTCACATGCCACATGGGTATGGACAGTTACACAACGTACACTACCTCTCTCACCACTATCAAACCTCAAATGGCACTTACGAATTTCCCCGCTCAAAGAAACGGTGTTTGAAGTACTTGGCCCTCTCGCGGCGGAACTTAATCAGCTTTCGTGGAAAGCATGAGTCAGCGATAAGCTGACGATTGTGGTGATTTCATAAACCCTAAGGGCAAAGGACAACAACGGAAATATACTTAACTGTAAGAAACAACACAATTATTCAGACCCTCACATGTTTCAGATTCCTGAGTCAAAAGATAATTTTGTTTTCATTCGTATTTAAGTGTTCACCTAAAATAATGTATTTCGAAACATTAAGAGGACTGTCTGTTTTCTACAAAAAACATTAAGATCGAAAATATCGCTGACAATGACGGTCCACAAATGATGAATCAAATCATTGTAATCAGTAGTGTAGTTGACATATTACGTATTCTTTGTATTCACACATCAGTTATAAGAATTATAAAACAACTTTCTGTTTTGTGACATTGTATACTCCTATATAATTAGACGGTATCAGCAAAAATACGTTAGCTACATTAATTTCTTGGTTAATTGTAGTTTGGTTTGTTTTCAATTTTCCACAAAGCTAGCCGTCTCTAATTTAGTAGTGATAGACTAGAAGGAAGGCAACACCATCCACCGCCAACTCTTGGGCTACTCTTACCAACAAAGAGTGGGATTCATCGTAATGTTATAACGCCCCCACTGTTTGTTTGTTTGTACTTAAGCACAAAGCTACACAATGGGCTATCTGTGCTCTGCCCACCACGGGTATCGAAACCCTGAATATAGCTTTGTAAGTCCGCAGACATACCGCTGTGCCACTGGGGGCTCCCCACTGTTGAAAAGGTTAAAAATATTCGGTAACGGGGATTCGAACTCGCGACCCTCAGACTGCGAGTTGAGTGCCCTAATCACCAATTAAGTTCTTTAAATAAAACAAAAAACACTTTCCAGTTCTTTCCACATTAACCATGTATTTGATAGAGTTTATTTATTTATTAGTTTATTTAATTGTCTAATCAATTTAATCTTTTTGTCTTTAGTTATTCATTCCACATATATCCAAATGCTAGTAGCACGTCTTTCTCGTAACGGTTTCATATTCACCTCTTTGAGGTCCAATAAATAAAACTATAAAAACAGACAAGTTTCATGCCAAGACACTAAAATTTAACTTAATGACTTGGTTAATAGATCATATGTCTGCGGACTTACAGCCCTGTACGAATCTTAGGATTTGCTTTATTTGTATAATATACTCGATTATCATATCTACAGTTACTTCATATATATATATATATATATACAGATAGATATGCATGTGTTGCATTATCAAGTACGTAAGGGCAATTTTTAACTTTGAATACCTGTTAAATAAATGCCAGTGGTAGCATGTTGATTGTTTATACGCCAATTGTATTTAGTTGGTTTATGAATTTTGCTAAAAGACACTTAAAATATATTATGTCACACTCTTAAAGATTTGTTGTAACTAACAGCAGGTGGCTGCCGTACCGGAAAACAAAAGAAATCCTAAACAGAGGTCTACATTCTGGGTGTGTTACACGAACCCTACTGACTAGGTTTAAGTCCTACGTTTCTGCTGCCATCTTCATGGAAATCCTGAGAAGCAATGTGTTTATTGTGGTAATGGCTGGAATTTCATTTTGGGTCTTCTGTCTGCTTGATAGATAGTCGAATGTGTTATCCACACGTCCGGCGTCTCTCCTAAAAGATTTTGATTGGACTATTAGACTATTTGAATGCAAACAAGACAAGTATCCCCCACCCCACCTTTTGGCCGTACGAATTAACCTGGGGGGGGGGGGGGGGTCCATTTAAGTTTGATTCGAAAACTTTTTTTTTTTTTATGTTGGAATGGAATTCAAAATAGTACCTAAGTCACGTGCATGCGTCACACCTGGCTGAGAGTAGAGTCTGAAGATAAAATGACCTTGACAAAATAATCTGCCGGTACGCTAAAATTCTTACCGGTTAACCGTACCTGCTTTCACCACTACAAGGAAAGCATTCAAATAGTAAGTTGATTCAAGTTCTAAGCCAATACAAGTTGAAAACAACCAGCAATTCTGTCAAATACGATCCAGGATCGAATACCAACCACCACAAACACAGTCCTTCTCAAGATTTCCCCGGAAAATGGCAGCAAAAAGGAAAGTATGAACTAGTTAGTAATTAGTAAATCTACTAAAAAAACGTAACTAATTAATAACTTTAACAATTTTATTTAATTAATAGGCTGTACGATCACCAATTAACAGGTGATCGTATTATTCGTATAGCCCATGAGTGGACAACCAAATTTTTTCCTGGTCATGGATGGGGCCAGTCGATCACAGAAATGGACGCATTATTAATAAAATAGAAAATGTTCGCTAAATAAATTTATTTCAGGATTCTAATGACAGTCGAGGTCAATTATAAACACAACGCAAAAGTACAAAAAATACTTTTTCAAAATTACAAAAGCGAGAAATTTCAATGAAAGATTTGGCATTATTTTTCTCTGACCAACTAAAATACACACTATCGATGATTCTACGAGTTGGCCACACATTTTTGCGAAATGGCCACTGGGCTACCTACACAGAGTATAGCCTATTAATCACGAAAATATAAAGAGTTAGCTTGTTTTATTTAGACAATGATTTTTTAATGAAAGATGAGAATTATGCTATTTTAATAATATTTCGAGTCTTTTTAAGATCTTTTAGGTATTATTTTGTGAATACATCATCTTTGGGCATTTTCCCGTTTTCTGTCTTACTGACTATACAGTAGTTTATCGCGGAGGATAGTTAGTTATCATATGGAAGAAAGCAAATTAGATATCTTTGTAGCTCTTTCGGTCCTTGAAATTCTACATTTATTTAAAAATGTAATTTTTAAATTCTTCTGAGTGCTATGTCAGATTGATGTATGTTAGTTTCTCACTCTCAGACCTTTTATTCTGTCCAAACAACTCTGAAGATTTCTGGGTGTTTAAGATATGAAGCATGTACTTGAAACTCTTATACAGTACATATGAATAATGTTTATTCATCACCAATCTTTGAAAGGTTTGGCTATTACACAAACACATTTCTAGTTTGGTTAATTTTGTGGTTTATAAGGTTGTTCATGTACTTTAGTACAAATATCTGGTGAAAATACCACGCCACATAGAACACAATAGTGAATTCTGACATTAATTTCGTTCACTGTTAAGTAGACTCGTACCAGACACTTAACCCCACCATATACATTATTTGTATAATATTTTATCTTTTTTTTTTTTCTTCTTTGCAATGACTTAAACTTAATATTAACATACGTACAAGTGTTGTAAAGCAGAAGGCGTGGTCTAAACTTAGTGTGATACAGGGTTATTTTGCGTTTAGTTTTTCTTTTTTTCTTCCTTTTTTGTCGTTGTTGGAGGTAGCTTTCGACTGACTGTACAGGATCGAACGCTAAGCGAAAAAGAAGAGCTGGATACGAGGTTTCCACATGGTGTAAATTATTTTATTATTATCAGTAACATATCTTTTAACTTTTACGCTGCTGTAGTTCATCTTACGTACTTGAGCGGCAAAATACGTCACTCGAAACGCTATCCGTTTAATCCTTACCTGGTGGGTTTTATACGCAGCGTATTACGCAAACCATCGTGAAAATGACTAAACACTCACCAGGAACGTGTCTGTTTATTAAAATCGAATGAGCTCCTCCAATTCAAGTTTCCAACCTTATTGGCATAATATTCAACTCTCAGCATTTAAAAATAAGAAATTTAGTAATTCAACATAAGAAAAGATGTAAACACGTTTAAGACGTAAAAACAGTCAACTACAACAAGCCTGTTTTTCGAGGAAGTTCTATTATCTGTGTTTGTCATTGTTTGTAGCCCTATTATCGGCAAAAAATATAACGGCCAAGTGAGTGAACTGAATAACTTTTATCTACAGAACATATGAGAGAATTATTTTCCATAAAAAAAAATGTAATCTAATTTTATAAGCTTGGAGTAGGTCCTTAGGCATTCAGCAAATTTCTTTGTCAACTTTAAATGCATTACTAAGTACAAAATTGAGGAAAATTGTTCAAAATTTCTTGGCCTAGTTTTTCACGTTTTTTTTTTCTATGTCTATCATTCAGTTTTAAAAAAACTTATTATATACAATTAACTAGAACTGTTACACAATATATCTGTGACACTGGCGTTTCCGTGAACCCTCGAACATCTAGAAATGTTTAATAAAAGTATCACGTTTTAACCTCTTAAGTTAGGCCTGCTATTGATTTTTGTAAAACCCTATTTTATGCCTCGTTTGTTTTGGTGGGAATTTGCCTTGCAATCCTAATAGGCTTTATGACTAACGCTTTAGAATTACTGGAACTTTGACACTTAATTGTACAATTACAACAAAAATTCCACCACGGGCACTTGAATTATAAAGAATTATGTTGGTTAATTTTATTTACTTATGCCATATCAAAGTAACTAATGTATACAGACAATACAGCTGTCTGCATAATAAGTGCTAATTGAGTGAGAATAATGCTTTAGGCTTGACTCAATTGCATAGACCACAAGAGTAATTCTGAATACCTAAAGCAAACAGTAATTACCCTTCATACGATTCCACAAAACAATGATGTGAAAGACAGTACCTTCCAGACTCACGAACATATTCTTAACGACATTTACGATAGTTATAATATTTCTTCTTACCTTTGTTAAGACAGCGGAAGTCACGCGACGCTGGGAGCATGCGCGCTGGAGTTTCTAGAAGGATCATGACTTATCGAGGAACC